TAATAGGATAACTATATTTGGTATGTGCGTACCTTGCAAGGTCCTCATGCTCGTCAGAGAGTTTTCACTTGACCTAGACCTCATTTCATAGATCAGTGAACAAAAACTTAGTCTTAGATGCATGATTTTTTTTTATTAGTTGTTAGTGGCTTTGTACTAGCTGTCAGTAACTGCGAGTACTCTCAGATCTGTACTTAGTGTCTTTTTGTTGATTGGATGTACAAGTACCCGGCCACTTTTTGTTGTTTGGATGTACAAGTACCCGGCCACGTCCACTTGTATTTGTAGTATTTGTATTTTTATCCATCTGATGAGTTAAGCCTCTTTCAACTGATTTTTATACGACCGCGGTTGTATATTGGTATGACGTTGGCGTCGTCATCGTCGTCGTCCGAAGACACATTGGTTTTCGCACTCTAACTTTAGTTTAAGTGAATGGATCTCTATGAAATTTTACCATAAGGTTCAATACCACAAAAGAAAGGTTGGGATTGATTTTGGGGGTTATGGTACCAACAGTTAAGGAATTAGGGGCCAAAAAGGGGCCAAAAATAAGCATTTTTGTAACTTCCAGACATAACTTGTGTGTTAGTGTATGGATCTCTCTGACATTGTACCACAAGGTTCCTTATCACAAAGGGAATGCTGGGATTGATTTTGGGGGGGTTTTAGGAATTAGGGGCCAAAACTTAAAGGGGCAAAAAACAAGAATTTTTCTAGTTTCATGACAATAACTTGTGTGTAAGTGTATGGATCTTTCTGAAATTGCACTACAAGGTTCCATATCACAAAGAGAAAGCTGGAATTGAGTTTGGGGGTAATTGCCCAAAACGTTTAGGAAAAAGGGGCAAAAAACAAGAATTTTTCTAGTTTCATGACAATAACTTGTGTGTAAGTGTATGGATCTCTCTGAAATTGTACTGCAAGGTACCATACCACTAAGGGAAGGCTGGGAATGAGTTTGGGGGGTAATTGCCTCAAAATTTTAGGAATTAGGGGCCAAAAAGGGGCAAAAAACAAGCATTTTTCTAGTTTCAGGACAATAACTTGTGTGTAAGTGTATGGATCTTTATGAAATTGTACTACAAGGTTCCATATCACAAAGGGAAAGCTGGGTTTGAGTTTGGGGGTAATTGCCCTAAACGTTTAGGAATTTGGGGCCAAAAAGGGACCAAAAAACAAGCATTTTTCTAGTTTCCAGACAATAACTTGTGTTCAAGTGTATGAATCTCTCTGAAATTGTACTGCAAGGTACCATACCACAAAGGGAAGGCTGTTATTGAGTTTTGGGGTGATAAATCATAAGGGGGTTCAAAAAATTTGGGGGGGGGATTTTTTTTTCCTTTTTTTTTCTTTAAAATTTTCCATTTTAAATTGGTTATTTCTGATTTATATATAAAAGCAAATAATAATGATATGGTTTGAATAGGTAAATTAAAATTTTTTAAGGTCTTAGACCACATTCATTCTGTGTCAGAAACCTATGCTGTGTCAAATATTTAATTACAATCCAAATTCAGAGCTGTATCAAGCTTGAATGTTGTGTCCATACTTGCCCCAACTGTTCAGGGTTCGACCTCTGTGGTCGTATCAAGCTGCGCCCCAGCGGAGCATTTTATTATTGTTCGTTCTTATGTTGTACTGTTTCACCACTGTCCCAGGTTAGGGGGAGGGTTTGGATCCTGCTAACATGTTTAACCCCGCCACATTCTGTATGTATGTGCCTGTCCCAAGTCAGGAGCCTGTTATTCAGTGGTTGTCGTTTGTTTATGTGTTACATATTTGTTTTTCGTTCATTTTTTGTACATAAATTAGGCCGTTAGTTTTTCGTTTGAATTGTTTTACATTGTCATTTCGGGGCCTTTTATAGCTGACTGTGCGGTATGGGCTTTGCTCATTGTTGAAGGCCGTAAGGTGACCTATAGTTGTTAATTTCTGTGTCATTTGGTCTCTTGTGGAGAGTTGTTGTCTCATTGGCAATCATACCACATCTTCTTTTTTTATATTTAAGGTTAAGTTTTGGTAGTCAGGTCCATATCTCAGATACTATAAGCAATAGGTCTAGTATATTCGGTGTATGGAAGGACTGTAAGGTGTACATGACCAACTGGCAGGTGTCATCTGACCTTGACCTCATTTTCATGGTTCAGTAGTCAAAGTTAAATTTTTGAGTTTTGGTCTTTTTTTCTTATACTGTATGCAATAGGTCTACTATATTTGGTGTATGGAATGATTGTAAGGTGTACATGTCTAGCTGGCAGGTGTCATCTAACCATGACCTCATTTTCATGGTTCAGTAGTCAAAGTTAAATTTTTGAAATTTGGTCTTTTTTTCTAATACTAAATGCAATAGGTCAACTATATTTGGTATTGAAACATTTTATGATGTACATGTCAGTCCCGCAGGTTTAATTTGACCTTGACCTTATTTTCACGGTTCATTGCTCAGTGTTAAGTTTTTGTGTTTTGGTCTGTTTTTCTTAATCTATAAGCAATAGGTCAACTATATGTGTTGTATGGAAGGATTGTAAGCTGTACATGTCTGCCTGGCATGGTTCATCTGATCTTCACCTCATTTCCATGGTTCATTGGTCAGTGTTTAGTTTTCTTGGTTAAGTCTGCTTCTTAGAAACTATAAGCAATACCGGTAGGTCAACTGTATTTAGTAATTTGAATGATTGTAAGGTGTACATATATTTCTTGTCAGGTTTATATGACCTTGAATTCATTTTCTTGGATCATGTTGAGTTTATGTGATAGTTGCAGTAAAGCTTTATATTTAGGACTATCAACATGATATCATTGATTAGTAAAGAAGGCGCAACATTTCAGCGTGTGCACTCTTGTGTATACATTAAACACCACATTTACTGTTTTTACCCTGATTTTATGGATTACTGAACATAGAAATGTCATAATGTGAAATTATAGTACATTCTTAGGTTAAAGTTTTAGGTTAAGGTACATAGCTTACCATGAAGTTGAATTTCATACACATGTTCATTATGTGGTGAATTTTTAAATTCAGTGCCAAACTAAGATTTTGAGCCTGATTACATGATTGACTAGACATTGACACATGCTAGTGTTTGCCAGGCATTGTGTCCTGTACTAGGAATTTGTCCTGTACTAAGAACTTTAATAGTACTCGCTGAGTATGGAGTTTTTGTGAAAGTTTAATATTAGTGAGATTTTTGCATGACATCCTGTCAACTGCTTGTTGATCATGTTTATACATGTCTTAAAATTAATATCTGACACATTGGTGTTTTGTGAACTTGGAAATAAGTTATTTGATAGAATAATAATGTTTTGAGATTATCAAAATAAAAAATATTTCATTTTTACTACATTGTGTATTAATGATTAAGTATATAAAAAAGAAGATTTAGGGTATATGTATAACCATATATAAAAATGAGACAGCAACCGAACAACACAAAAATAAGAAAAAAAAACCAATATAATTTTTTGCATCAATGTTATAATTTCCAACATGTCCAAAGAGTTCCCAATGTATTTTCTAATTGAAATAAAACACAAGTGGAACTCTTTCAGAACTTCAGAAGCTTAAAGTAGTGCTGTTTCTATTGTTGGCTTTCTGTATAATACATTGCAAATTCTTGTGAAAAATGGAATTTTATTGTAATTGCCTAAAGTTTTAACATTGATCTATATATATATAACTGGGGAAAATACCCAATTGTTATAAAGAAGAATACATAAATTGATTGTTATATAATATTAGAATAGGAAGATGTGGTATATTGCTAATTTGACAACTCTCCATCAGAGACCAAAGGATGTAGGAGGTTAGCAACTGATGACACTGGACAACCTTCAACAATCAGTAAAATCCATACCACATAGCTATTTTCATTGAAAATCATATGTTCTTGCTACATGTATGCAAACAATTTTTTATTATCCATAACTTCGGATTTTATTGGTTCTTTTTCAGAAGGATTGAAATTCATCACTGAGAATAAAAGGAGAAAACACAGAAACATGACCAAAATAAATTCAAAGACAAAAGTCAGATCAGTTATTATTTTCATCACTCAGCCAATGAATTGAAGTTCTATTAAATATCTAAAGATATTAAAACCACAATAATGACAATGTTCTGTGCTGAATGGCAAAAAAGTGGACTATACATTACGATCACACAATGCTGGATGATAAGAAACTATTAATTTTTTGGGTGGAGGGATATCCTGAAAAAAAAATAGATTTATGTAAAAAGTGTTGTTAAGCCTATTAATAGAGTTTTCATTGATTTCAAATGGGAAAAAATTGTGTTTCAAAAAAGTATTCTAGAATTCATAAATAAACATATATTGATACTTACATTATCTGCTTTGTTGTTTAAAAGTTTAGTTTTGAACAGTTATAGAACAATATAATTGCATTAACATTTCCAAGGAAAAAAAAGATATTCAACTAAAAAGATTCATCTTAAAACAATTTACTACCAAACAGAATTCATTGTAACATACACATTTATTTACTGTATATTTATAATTTGAATCATAGGATTTTGTTTTGTCCTATGGGATATTAAAAATCCCATGGGATAATTATAGTCCCATGGGATTTTTTTTGTCCCATGGGACAACAAATATCCCATGGGACTACAATTATCCCATGGGACCCAAAAAAATCCTATGGGATTTAACCAAAATCCCATGGGATAATGGTCAATCCCATGGGATTTGCCCTATCCCATGGGATATTGAAAATCCCATGTTTTTCTAAATCAAATTACAAAATAGATATAATAATAACAGCAGAAAAGCAATGAATTTATTGAATCCCATGTAATTCCGCACATTTTGGTTATATACACGACACTGTAGCTCTAAGGAGAGGCGGCGGCGGATTTGCAAATGAGTGTTTTGCAAATTAAAAGTGTCCAGTGTTTACGCACTGTGTAGTTGGTGCACCAGAACTTCAAAGGTTTGCATGTCACGTTAACATATGGAAGGATAGTAATCTGCTTTTTTTATACTGTTGTAATAACATCGATTGTTTTGTTATTTAACCTGTTTCCGTGTTATAATTACTCTTAATTATTATTACAGAATTTTCGTTAGGATAATATACAATAGGAAGGAAGTTATTGAGATAAGTATTGTTTTATCCTGTGAGTTGTACAAACGAACATGTAAAATGAATCAAAATCATGCCGGATTTTGTATATTTGCGACTGATATTCATACAATATGATGAGAACACTAAATCTAATGTAAACTACTAAAAGGAAAACATTTTGCGGAACGTATAAAATACCTGTTGTTGCAGCTGTCAAGTAGAATATTGCAAAATGGCAGGAAATCATACAAGTGTTGAGATGACATTAGAAGACTTTAATAACATAGAAATAGCAAAAAGAACATCTGCAATCGTTTATTTATCTGTTGTAATGATTTTGGGAATTCCTGGAAACTTATTAGTGATAATAGTGTACTTTGGATCCCTCTGGCGAAGGGATGGTACACACTGGATGTACATCCGGGCTTTAGCCGTCACCGACTTACTGGTGTGCACGGTTGCAATACCATTTGAAATATTCCAACAAACGCACCAGTTGACATTTGATTCTGAAGTAGGATGTAAGATCTTCAGAGCAATAAGTGTACATTTATCTTTGACATCGTCTCTACTTTTGATTGCCATGTCAGGAAATCGTCTCAGACTGGTATGTCAACCACTGAACAAACAATTAACTCCGAATCAAGGTTTGGTAACAATTGCAATAACAGTAGGAATTGCCGTGTTATTTTGTTGGCCGGAAGGAGCTTTAAGTGGGATAAGTTTAGAAAAGTTAGATTATAACTTGACAGGGTATGATTGCAGTTTTTCAGACCGATATAGCATGAAAGATTACGGTACGATATATAGTACTCTCCTGTTAACAGTCTACCTTTCATGCATGGTTGCACTTGTGATTATGTATTCAATTGTTGGATTGCGATTGCTTGAACGAGCAAAATATCAAAATTCAAATCGAACAAGGTATGCAATATCAACGACATCTGTTGCTACTGAATTAACCTCATGTGAACATCACAGCACCAACCTCATTAAAAATCAGAGTGAAACATTGGACGAGAAAAGCATCGCTATTAAAACAATTGCAACACCAGGAACCCCTAAAAATAATGATCAGAAGAAATCCAACGGAAATTCTAAGAGAGCTTCAAAAATGAAAACATCCAAAAAGGTTACACGGATTGCATTCGTCGTTAGCTTCTGCTTTATTTTGAGCTACTTGCCATATATAGCAGTAAAATTAAATGCATCTGTTGTAAAAGGTCAGTTTACAGAAACACCGCTAACCAAGGCCATATTTCCTATCCTTGCCAGAACGTTTATCATCAATAATATCATAAATCCTGTTATATATGGATTTCTGGATCCGACGTTTTTAAAGCATTGCAAAATGACAATTAAATATATTCTATGCATGAAATCTGAAAACTATTCTTTGTAAATATCCTGTGTATATCAGTCTTATAAACATTTTAAAATAGCGAATATAAATTTGTGTTTATGTAACTAACTAACGAATTGTATTCAGTATAAAATCCAGTACAAAAGTATCATCGCCAAAATACGTATAAATATTCAACAATAGCAATTTTGAGACATAACAAATAACATAAAACCCATAGCAATTAGTCATGTCTATTATTTCCACAGACGCATTTTTGATTATGGTTTCACCAACATTGTGTATATAGAAGAATTCTGTAGACAACATCAGTCTCGGTACAATTCATTAAATATTTTAATTGATCAACACTATCAAAATTACATAAAATATTATATTATGTCAACAAAGTCGTTATATTTACTTTTCTAATATCTTAATAAAGATTGAATTCGCATAAGAAATGAAATTCATCTTCAATTTTATTATAAGTACAGTATAAACATACTGTTTGACTCAATGATGTACCATTATATTTGACGTTTTCAATTTGTGAATTGTGATAAGTAATAAGTGATTCGTTATCTGTAGAACTGTCTAACATACTGTTTCGAGACATTTAATTTTGTCTCAGGTTTATACTCTTCCCTGCTATATGAACGTAGTTTGTTTTGGTCATATCCTGATTAACAAGTTGAAATACATTGTTCGTATCATTATTGTGGTTTTTTTTTACAGCAGATAACGTTGATATTGATATTGTACCTTTGTTATTCCAGACATGGTCAAAACCAATAAATTTTAGAAACTGAAAAAATGTGGTGTCACATGTAGAGCAAATCTAATTACCCTTTAGAGGCACCCGAGATAACCCCGATATTTTCATTGGGTTTGTGTTACTCAGTCTTTAGTTTGCTATGTTGTGTTTTGTATTGTTTGTCTTTTCGTCTTTTTCAGATTTTGCCATGACGTTGTCAGTTTGTCTTCAACTTATGAGCGAATATCCCTTTGGTATCTCCCGCCCTTCTTTTAAAGGCACATGGATAGGTACTATCGATAACTTCAATTAACCTGTATATAGAATTTGAAAGATTCGAAAAAAGATTATCGGGTATTCAATTGACTGCAATATAACAAATATAAAGTTGGGTAGCGACCAAGTTTTGCCGTACTGGTCAGGTTAGACAAAATATTTAGTGACATCAAGTACACATTTACAATATCGAATAAGATTCTTTAAACAAAAAAAAATCTTTTCTATAGCATTATTTGCATCTGATACAAATGTTTGGTCCTGGGAAAGAATGTACGGAACCCACAATTCACTTCCATATAAAAGTACAAGTTTAACGCAGGATTTCAGAAGGTTTTAACAGCAATCATGTATCATTATATTTACAGTGGTATTTACGTTTAATAATTAAAAAAAAATACGTTGAGAGCTTTTTTATTGAGATCTTCAATTGCAGTACTAAAGGAAACTGGTGCTCTCATTACAATACCTAGGTAATTGTACTCTTGTACAGTTTTAATAGGATGCTGACCGTAATAAAAGTAAGAGTCTTTCAACAATTTACCAGATTTATTAACCACTATTATTTGGGTTTTTCCATATTCAAGGTAAGTTTTATCTTTTATAATAAAGATCAAATGAGGATAGACAGTTGGGTAACCTCCATTTGGTTTGTGACATCAAAATTATGGAATCTGCATACAACAAACTACTTAGGGGACGACCATTTGATATTCTGGGGGGGGCCAGGAGGATTTTGAAAATAAATAACTCAGCCTTGATAATCACAAAAATAAATGGTTTGTTCTGTGGTAGTTTGAAAATAAATTACCTGACTTGCAATTTATTGAAAATAAATAACTCAGCAGGTCTAATCGAAAGTATGAGATGGCACCAGATTCTTCATAAATTCATCTTTTTTCCAAAAAAAAAATCGAGAAACACTTCCCATATCTTTTAAATTAATAATAAAAGTATAAATATTATTTAAATATACTTGCTGTGACCTATAATGGTTTACTTTTATAAATTTTGACTTGGATGGAGAGTTGTCTCATTGGCATTCATACCACATCTTCTTATATCTATTGAAATGTCAGAAAATTGGTTTCATTTAACTTGAGGTTAATTGTCTCAGGAACACTTACCTCACTTTTATTAAATCAGGGCCGTAACTACATTGAGACAAATGCCTCATGTAGGAAATTTCAAAACCAAACGCTTGTCTCCATATCAAATTGTGTTCACCGTGAGTGCCTTGCAAGAAGCAAGTTCTGTTCTCCCTCAGATGTAGCCCCTGACTTATCGGGATCAATGTTTCTTATTTATTTGTCTTTTGTTCATTGATTGCCCTTCTGTATTCTGTTAGTGTTGCATTCATTTTGTAATTTAGTAATTTTATTATTAACTTGATCATGAGTTTAAAAAAACACAGCAGCCACAGACTTAACTATGTGAATTACATTTTTGCTTTATCATGCATATTTGTCTTTTGATGTTGTTCCTAGAAACTTAAGTCTTACACTGAATCTATAACGTGATTTTGCTTTGAGACCAAAATATTGTCATAAAATTATTAAAACAGAACTTGCATTTTCAGTTTAAGAAAGGGTCTGGGGAACACCCAGAAGGCATGATTTTGCATCATTTGTTCTATAGCTTCTTGGGCCTTCAGCAGTTCAAAAACCCTTCAAAAAAATTTTGCCTCGCTCTGCTCGGCAAAACATGTTTGCCAATACTTTTAAAAGAGCCTTAGTTACAAACAAATTTTAATACTGTGTATGTATGCAATACATGTATATGCATTGGGGAATATAGGAGATTCATTTCTGCAGAGGATAATAATTAATTCTGATTAAATGGTACATAATGACTTGGCTATACATGAATTATTTATAATAAACAAATAATTTAAAAATTGTATGTTTTCGAATATAAAAATATAGTTGTGAAAATAAATAATCATGCAGTCCCTTGCTTTAATGAAAATGAAAAATCTTGCTTCAATAGTGCAGAAAATAGATAATCTGTCCTCTTAGTTTACAAAAATAAATAACCGATCCAAAACAAATCCTCCTGGCCCCCCCCAGAATATCAAATGGTCGTCCCCTTAAAGATGACTTTGTCCCTATATCTACTGGATCACATTTATCGTGAAAGTGCCCGGGAAAGTAATCTATGGCCATATTGAATAAAGGGAATCAGTATACATACTTGTATATGTTCCGGACCATACGAGTATTCTTAGCATACGCGTATGGTCATGACTACATACGTATACTCATATGCTCTCACCATACAAGAATAGTCGGACCATATAAGTATATACTCGTTTGTTTGTTAACTAGCCAGACTATATGAGTATTTAGGCCATTTATTAACTTTCGAATACAAAAATATAATTTCCTTCGCAGGAACGTACAGCTCGTTCTCCGAACCGAAATCGACACAAGTTTCTAACTGAAATCCTCTATCTTTGACATATTGTCTGAATCTTGGTGTAATCCCCAGAGTCAATTTAAAGTGCCTTTATCCTGTCGACTTTATCGTTCGTAAGTGAAACGTTATGCGTTTTGGGCATGGCCTTTTTTATTTGGTTTCCCCGTTGTTTATATAAGTTTTTTTTTTAGAGAAAATAATTCTTCTTATTTCTTCTTACTTTGCAATTGCACTTGATTGAGGTGTTATTGTTCATATTCATGCGATCTTCCAATAACATTAGTTTAAAGTGCTGCCCCTATATTTTTATTTGCAACATAAGAACAGAGGAACAGCATGTATACACTGCTGTTATTGTAAGATCGTATGAATTGGAGCATGAACTCATTAAATAACTAAATTTGAAATATTTAAGAAATTTTAATTTACTAAAAATAAATTAATACCGAAATAAAAAAGATGAAAAGGACAAAAAGAGGTTTCAATGCATCAAGTACCTGTGAGTTAAACAGTTGATTTCCTGAATTGTTTTACGATTTATTTAGATATTTCTTGAATTTATTTTTTATGTAAAAAATGCTTTTACAATTATTTAAACTTGCAAGTAAAATTCAAATTATTTCATTAATCATGTAAATGATTACAATGTGATTAAAGAAGTCAACATTTCATTTTTAGAAACTCTCTTAATTTACAACACATTGAAAGTACATCATACTTTATGCAGTTAACAGTAAAAGTAGCTATTCATATGATGAAGACATAATCTTTCAATCAGTTTAATTGAGGTCCGGAGCTGGCATGTCAGTAACTGCTAGTATTCTGTTGTTATTTATGTATTATTGTCATTTTGTTTATTTTCTTTTGTTTCCTATTCTGACATCGGACTCGGACTTCTCTTAAACTGAGTTTTACTGTGCGTACTGTTGTACGTTTGTTTTTTCTACATTGGCTAGAGGTATAGGGGGAGGGTTGAGATCTCAAAAAACATGTTTAACCCCGCAGCATTTTTGCGCCTGTCCCAAGTCAGGAGCCTCTGGCCTTCGTTAGTCTTGTATCATTTTTAATTTTAGTTTCTTGTGTATAATTTGGAGTTTAGTATGACGTCCATTATCAATGAACTAGTATACATATTTGTTTAGGGGCCAGCTGAAGGACACCTCCGGGTGCGGGAGTTTCTCGCTGCATTGAAGACCCATTGGTGGCCTTCGGCTGTTGTCTGCTCTATGGTCGGGTTGTTGTCTCTTTGACACATTCCCCATTTCCATTCTCAATTTTATTCAACATATTACTTTTATATATGGTCCGGAAAATATACACCAACATTAATTTTGAAAGTCTTTTAGTCCGTTATCTACTTGATTTGAATATTTAGCGCAGGTATACATGTCTTACATGGGACATTTTACCGCTAATACCTTGTTTGAAGAAGACAAATATTTCCCCATGCTGTATCGAAAGCCATTACAACATTATTAATATATTTTTGCTCTTTATGTTTCATTCACAATGGATTTTAAAGTCTTTAACCTGATCGTTTTGTTAGCTTTTCATAAGCTTATTTGGTTGTTACATATTATTTTGTTCTCAGTTACAAATAAATCTAATTTATTGCATACGATTTTTAAAAAAAAAACTTACTTAGACAAGAAGAGATTGCAGCATTATGTATGTTGTTAGACCCACAGAACCCGTGCACTGTTGACGGTGAAAGTCTAACAGCAGTGCAACTAAGTAGAAGTAGATGTATGGATGTTGCTCTAAACTCATGCACTGTTTACGATGTACAACAGTGTAATAATGATTGATACTATTAAAAGAGGCCTATCATCCAGCAGCCAATATTACACTCATACATGTATTGTTTTACGATAACAAGTGAAACTTCATATAAATTAACCCCGTTTACATTACAATGTTATACTGTATATATGTAGTTATAAAAATAAAAAGACAACTCTCCACCAGAGACCACATGACGGAGAATTTAACAACAATAGGTCACCGTACGGCCTGCA